TGCTTTGCGTTATGAGCATGGATAAATGGGGGTCAAATGTAAAGCAATTTGTTTGGAATGAAAGTCACTATTGGCTCAAAAGAAGAGCCCATCAAACATCCCGTTCACACATTGACTTTTGGACAATTATGAATGAATACCTCCTCTTCTCGTGCCGTTCAAAGTGGTTGCGGCCCCTGCTTTCCCCGTGCCTTCGCTTTCGGCTATACTGCTCATTTCTCTCGGGCTCCGCCTTCAACTGCTCTGCCAGCCCGCCGCCATCTTGTTCATTGTTCGGCTCGGAACCAAGGGCCTCCCATCCCGCCTCGACGCCCATCTCTGGGCCGCCCTCAATTTTGAGGTCCTCTTCAATTTCTGTAATGAAGGACAATTAATGTTATTTTGGTCGGCCTGTGCCACAAATTCAAAGATTGCTATTTAACTTGGGCTCTGCTATCTACTTTTTGTATTGCACACCATACATTGAACGAGACAGAAGTGTACCCATGTTATTGCTTCCGGTTATCACACGGCCCTTTTCCACCGCGCTTGTGCTAGTTCGGAGCCGGTACCCGGGTGAGTACCAGTTTTTTCTTTGTCCACCATGGAAATTGGCTCTCGTTCCAGCTCTGGTGCTTGAGGGCCAGCTCAATCATTTGCTGAGCCAGACTCCGGCACCAACGACCTCAGGGGGCGGGGCTATCGTGAAGATCGCAAATGTAGAGGAATGACTCCCTGGACATGTGGAAGTTTTGCATCAACTGTTGAGCAGTGAACTCTGGCACAATTGTGTCCCACCAGAAGAGCGGTCGCGGATGTGCCCAGATAGCATGCCATCTCCGACTAGCAGCCAGTCTCGTGATCATCTATATTGATTAAGACAGCGTTTGCCGGTTGCTTGTCACTGACTGTTATATACGACAAGCAAGTATAATCGATGCTATGCTAAGTTGCAGATGCTTACAGCGCATTATTATTTTTATTAGGGTGCTCGAGCACGATGATAAGAGTTTTGTGCTTGATATGGGTGAGCAAAGGGAGTGTGTTTCATTAGATAGGCTCAAACCAGCTCATTTGGTTGCGGG